TCCACATCATTTTTTTTTTCAGACAGCATAACCAAAGACAAATATGGTAGGTTATTAGTAAAATGCAGTGTGGCTTAGTGAATAAAATGTGTACTGCCATATTTTAGAACCATCCACTGTCTTTACCTTGTGTAACCTCTTTGTGGGATATGAGGCTCTGGTTAATAACAAGACAAGACGTGAAGGTTACAGAAACATTAACATCAATTATCTGAAAAAGTGAGTACAAACTCATGATCTCCTCTTGGTACATAATAGAAACGTTAGAATCTTTAGTAAAGGAATATGCAAAATTAACTATATGCTGATTTCTCTGCTAGCTCCCCTTTAATACAATTGTTCATAAACAATGCTTACAACCCAGATAATACATCATCAAGGACCTAAAACTGTTAACAAAAGTGAAACTGTTGTAACTGATTTTCAGGACTTAAGCTAAGAGAAATGGAAAAACGCAAAAAAGCAACCAAACAGCATAAATAGTAAGATAGATTTTACTTTCCTTTTGATTTTAGAGACAGGTTCTGTCATCTTCACACTGATTAGCTTCCAGAAATGGGCTATTTGTCAAGTAAGTTACCATGAGTACGGATGGCAGAAGTTTTTTGATAAAAAAGTGGGATTTTAAGCCAAGGAAGTTAAACTAGTAAAACCCCAATCAACGCCTGTTACATGACTGCCTATTTTCCAGGTTACCTTATTCTGCTTGGTATAGTTTTTAAGGTAAACCCCCAAATGTCAGAGTTATAACAAAATACCAACATTCACATAAAGGGTTCTTTGTGTACAAAACCATGCCAGACTTCTCTCTTAACAATGCATTTGGTCCAATAAAAGATGTAATAAAAAATTCTCATCTCTAATAACATTCACAGGGGTATTAGTCAAGGATAACTATATTGCTATACAGGACAAAAATTCTCTGTGTACAACATGCCTGACATAGTTCATTATATTTAAATGCATTTCTTTAGGAAGCCTCTGCCACTGCCCTGGCAGATAGGTATGGTTGTGTAGGTGTACGTGTGTGTACTTTCTCTACTGTTATCCTATTATGGCTTTCAAACTGGCAATGCCTTTTCCATCCTGAAACATACAGTGACATCTCCTCCTCAGGAAAGGAAATCAACCTCCCTGATAGCAAGAAAGGACATTGCAAGCAACAGAGCACTTCAACCTGCTGCATGTAGAATGACAGTAGGACCTGCCCCTGGCGCAAGAGATGTCTTGTGAGCAAGTGGCCAAGCAAGACCACATATGAGTACAGGCAGGGTAGAAACAGAGACTTGCATGGAGAGCATTCTTAAGTTCCCAAGTCTTAATGGGAAGCTGCTCTAATAAACTGCAAATGAAAATTTATTATTAATACTTCTGTATAACGTGACATCTTTCTTAATCACTTCTGACTTGTATAAACAGTCCCATTCTCTCATAGGCAATTTCAGACACAAGCTTCGTACTCGTACTTTTCTGCTGTGATTGAGAACAGGGGAATGTTTTCTCCTTCTTTACTGATTACCAGGGATCTGTGTTTTCCATCTGTCGCAGAAAAAGCGTATTTTCTCCTTTAAAAGAGAAAAACACATATTTTTCTCCTTTAAAAGGGGCACAACTCCATGTTGTCACCACTCCCCCTGCTGCTGCTGGGCGGTCAGGGGTGCCTTGCCATGGTGGTGCAGCTGATGTGGGGCTCATGGCAGCGGCAGTAGCAGCAGCATCAAGCCCCGATACCCTCTCATACTGGGTCCTGCTCACTGGGCTGCAGAGGCCTCCAGGGGCAGGGCAGCAGGGCAAGGAGCCCCAAGCCCATAGTAGGCAGTCGGCAAACTCATCCCCTCCCGTGGCCCCCATGGGCTCCACTCAGCTCTGCTCTGGCCATACTGTCCGCAGGTGAGGGGATGCGGGGCAGGCTCCATGTTCTGCTCTGGCCACAGCAACTGCCACTTCCTGCATGTGGCAGCTGGGGCTTGGGCAGTACTGGGGTAGGCAGGGGACTGCGGGCCCTGGCCCTCATCCCATAGCCATGGCAGCTGGGGGCTCCCCTCCAGCAGGGTTGGGAGGGCAGGGGGCTGTGGGAGTGAGGAGACCAGCAGGGACAGGGGACTGTGGGTCGGGAGTGAGGTGCACTAGCAGTGCTGGAAGGGGTGGGGGACTGTGGGTTGGAAGTGATGGGCACTGGCAGGGCCAGGGGGCTGCGGGCTGGGAGTGAGAAGCACCAGCAGGGCTGGGGTGGGGGGCTGTGGCTTGGGAGTGAGAGTCAAGGGCATGGTCAGGGGCTGATTACATGAGATTTGCAGGAAGCAAGGGACTCTGATAACTGAGTGCTGGTTCTACCTGTCTGGTTCTTTGTACAAATTGCCTGGAAAGGGTGAGGTCCAGAGCATAAAGTATGCACCACTTTCTTTCACAGCACTGGTGAGAAGAAACCAGGGGAACCCAGCTGGCCATTCTCCTCACAGTACTGGGTCCCATTCACCTCTGTGAAGGTATGAAACGTGGTTTTCCTCCAGTGGGGTCTTCTGAAGGGTTTGCCAGAAAGCATGTTTTAAGGCAAAACTCTCTCTTTGATCTGCATGGAAGGGAACATGGACTCTTAGAGCTGGCAGAGCTTATTTAAGCCTTCTGTTGTTCCTTACTGTGATGGGGTAAAACAGCCAAGAAAAGAGTTATGGGCTACCTGCCTGTTACTTGACCAACCAGAAGTTTTAAGGAAGTGTGACTGAGGGCCCAGCCATGCTCTGGAGGACGACATTTAGACAGACAGAAAGGACTACAGGACAAGCTATCAAGTTTGTTACCTCTCTTTTATGGAACAACATGGTTGTGTTTCCAGAAATGTGGAAGTCCTGGCTCCAACAGTACAGTAATTCCAAGTATCCCTCCACACATGCAGGTAAAGGCACGACGGGATCTAATGCACTAGCCACACAACAGCACCTCCTACCAGGCCATGTGTGCATGGCAGGAAGTGTGATTGCGGGATTACGAATCGGAGCCCATCATGTCTTATTGCTGGTGCACGAGGAGCCTAATCCTGAGCTCCCCCTGCACTGGCAAGAAACAAGCTCCTGCAGTTGGGAGCCCCCTCAGCTGATAGGGTTCCCAGCTATGGGGATGCCACAGGGCTCCCTGCAGTGGGGAGATTGCAGCTGACAGCATCCCTGCCACAGAGGTACTTCATGCACCCTCACAACTGTGAGACCACAGTTTACCCAGCATCCCCATAAACCACTGCGTGACTGAGATACTGCATCAGCTGTGGTCTCCCAGTCGCAGGGGTGTACTGAGTAACCCCATGGCTGGGAGCCATTTCAGCTGATGGGGCTCTCAGCCACGAGGTCATACGCTCCCACAGCTGGGAGCTAGCATCAGCTGGAGCTCCCAGACGCAGGGGGGCACATGCCCCCCCCCCCCCCCCCCCCCCGCCGCCGCCCGCGCCTGCCGATGGCAGTAACAGCTTCTTTGATATGCTGATGGGACTCCCAGCCACAGAGGCCTCAGGCCACACATTCAATTAATGACATGATAGGAAGCAACTACAACATTCCACATATTTTGTGGAATAACTTTGTAGCTTATTCCTTTTTTATCATGCCATTAACTGAATGAAAAGGTGGCTGGGTGACCACTTAAGGTGTGATTACAATAATTTTTACTTGATATGGGATTTTTTTTTACCAATGACTCTGTACAATGAAAAGGTTAATAAATACTTTTGAAAAATAACTAAAGTCTTAAGACTAAAATATGCATCAAATAAATATTGTTTTTCTGTTTATAAAATTAGTATTAGACATTCCTTATAATTTTGTAGAGAAATTAAACAGTCATTCTTTCTAGTCAATGTTCATTAAAGATGTGGGTTTTTTTAAGATGTCTCCTTTTTATGAAAAAGTAGCACAAATATAAAGAAGAAAACTGACCTTGCATACCTGCTACTTCTAGGAGCCTTAATAACTAAAAACTTGTTGCATTTTTGCAACTAAATACAATTTATTCAACAATCTAGTTATAGTTCTTGTAAAATTATCAAGATTAACACAAATATAAACTTGACCAAAAATTGTTATTTTGTTAGTTCTGAACTCTTAGACATTTAGCCAAACTCTACAAGCATTTATGCCTGTCATATGTTTAATACAAGTAGTAAACAATTAATATATATACTATGTCACTTATGTTGCACATAGATACTACCAGATTAGCCATAGCTTTGGGCCATTATTTTTACGCCTGGAGGGCACATGGGAGTTTCACAAAGTTCTATTATCCCCTCCTCCTTTAATAAGTATACAAAGGGATTGGTAAATGAGAGATACGGATGGAAGTGTTTTTAGTATGTGGATAGTATTCAGATTTCTATATCAATTTTAATTAAGGAAAAGGGTATAGATGACCTTCTTTTTTACTGTCTGGTAGTCCAGGGACATGGAGTTCAATGAAATGGCTGAAGCTCAATCCATACAGGACTGAAGTGTTGTTAGTAAGTCAGGGTAACCAGCCAGAGAATAAAAACATGATGATACTGGCTTCGCTCACTGAGGATAGTTGATTGACACATCTCAACTGGCAATTTGGGGATCATGTTACATACACAATGGTGGTACATGATCATGACCCTGACTATTTTCCATCTATTTCTGGTTAAGAAATTGCAACCTTCTCTCTTGAATGTGGCCCCTTGCATGCTGTAAAACAGCCTAATTCTGTTGGTCTTCACAGTATGCCTCAAAATCAATCTATTTGGTCTTGTGGTTAGAGAGAACTGAGTTTTGGGGCCCTAAACAGGTGCATGAATTTTATTTATTTATTTATTTATTTATTTATTTTTTTTAAAAGAAAATGAGGCTTTAGCAAGAGTTAACAAAAGCAAGATGGAAGGCAGGACCTGGATTTTTGGAACAGTGTGCATTTTTGTAGAGAAAGAATAGTTTTAGGCTATTACTGTTTTCAGCTATCTATAGTTTTGATCACCTGCGATCAGCCTTTAGCAGGTCTACTTTTATGCTAAGCTGAAATCAAAGGAGATAAAACAATACACATGTAAAAACAATTCATAACAGTTGAAAACTGTCAAACATACAAGTACCCTTTTAAAGGGAAACATACCTGTTTCAGGACTTGTTTGATTACAGCTGCTAACAATGCTGTTTGGTATCACTGGCATGGAGGATGCTTGGATTCTTGACTGAGGTGTTGGATGTAATGAATTTCCTAAAGCCATTCCTGACTGACTGAGCACCCCACAGTTCCCACTAGCCTGCATCTGATTTATTAAGCCTGCAAGATGGTTGTTTGGACCTGGGCTAGTACCATGAACAAAATTAGTGTTTGCATTCTGGCAGTGCATACCTTCTCCTCTTAAAGATAAACTGTGTGTCAATGAATTCTGAAGAGTGCCAGAGTTCATATTGGTGTCTGTAAAATGCATCTGGTTAGAAGAGCAAGGCAAAACAGTATTTGAGCTCCCACAACCAGTGGTAGTATTGCTGCTCATGTGAGAGCTTTGACAACTCATGGACTGAAGTAACTGGGACATTGAACTGATGGGAAATGAACCTTGACTTTGCTTTCTTATCAAATCAGATCCAGACTTAGGAACTCCAGAACTATCCAACTGAGACTGCCTAAGCAAACTCAGCACTGTTGTAGTTGGCTGTTTTCTTTTTCTTAAAGGGTCTTTTTGCTGAGACATCAGTTTATCTCTTAGTGCTGCTCGACCACTTTGTCCTTCACTTGTTGGTAGAAGAACATTGGCAGTAGGAGGAAACATGGTATTTAAAGTGCTATGTCCTTCATTGTTGCCACCACCGGCAACAGCTCCAGAATTGCTACTGCTGTTATTGTTGTTACCAGCAAGTTTATTTTGATTTGCTAGCTGTGCTTTGGCTGCTGCTGAGAGTAAACTGCTTGCTGGAAAAGAGGCAGCATTGTGCTGGTTCAAGATCTGATTTAAAGGCATTCCCAGCAAACCAGGCTGACTCTTTAAGGGACCACTTCCAGCTGATGCAGTAGAAAAAACTGCATTGCTTGGAGGATTTAATACATTACTCATTCCAGCAATTAATGGGTTAGGGATGTCCTTGTATTGATGAAGTCCATCAGGCTTGGTAGAAGGGCTTGATGGCATAGATGGTCTTGGTGACCCTATTGTTGATCTTGGTGATCTGGGAGGAACTTTAATACCACTACAGGATGACTGTGGTCCTACTGGAGGCAACATGAAATTTCCATGATCTGATGACGTGGAAGATGAGCGTGATCTTTGGGGAGAAGCCTCAATCCTTCCAATCCCAGATGCTATCATATGAACAGGGGATGTCACTGGTGAAGGAGACAGTGAGGTTGAAGCCGAATGCTGAATTCTTTGTACGTGACTTCCATGGTTCATGTGACCAGGTTTTACTGTTGGCAAAGGGAGATTACTTGGCAAAGGGACAACGGCAGGAGGCATGCTTACATTCATCACAGGTACCTGAGAGTGGACATTTGAATGGAAAGTAGTTGGGTTAATGATAACAGGATTCTGATTCACTGGTTTGCTAGGAATAGGGTCAAGTATGCCAAGCGGATCCTTTTCTGATGTTAATGGCTTTTTCTGAAGAGCACAAGAAGGTGGAGGAGGTGGGCCTTGGGGTGGTTTATGGTGAAACATTGCTCGTGGTATTTCCATATTAGCTGAAAAATTACACATGGGCTTTTTCATTACTGGGCTTTTTGTGGTCAAGGTTGGGGAAAGAGGTATATTAGTCCTTCCAGCCATTGCACAGGATGACTGTACTGGAGAACCATGTAGCATTACTGAAGGTGGAGATAAAGGAGTCCTGGTCATGTGTATAGGACTAGAGTTGGGTGCTCCATGAAAATTGGGATTATTTCGTGCGAAAACATCAGGGCTTCCAAGTGGGTCAGTCCTAGGAGAGATTGAGCCATCTCCATATATCTGTGATCCTGATGAAGCTGGACTAGGCATTCCACCATGACTGCCACGATACGGAGACTTCTGCCCAAGTTCATTACTGCCCAATCTCTGCCTGGGATAGACAGAATGAAGTTCTTGTTGCTGGCTTCCAGCCATTTCTTGTACATAAATCCTACCCATGGCATTTGATGCCCCTATCATTAACTTGAAAGGAGTCTTACATTCTGGCATCACAGAATTTGTAATTCCTTCATGTGATTTATTCCTCATTGATCTTGGAGTTGCTGCTCGAGTAGGAACTACTGGCGTTGCACCTGATATTAAAGATATCAAATAACAGTTACTATTTTGAAATCTGTTTAACAAATTTGTTTTAGACAAAAATGAATACATAGAAATTAAATTGACTATATGCAAAAACAATGTTAAGGTTTTAATTTCTGAAAAAAAAAAAAAGCATTCGAAAGTTATCATGTCCTAGATTAACAGTCACCTATTTAGAAAATAGTATGTAGTCATATAATTGAAGACTGTATGCAAATGTATACTTGATTTTGCTGCATAAATAGCTTTTTATTAGCATAGGTGTTTTTTGGATGTTACTTCCTACAGATGTTTCTCTAGGAAAAAAAAAATAATAATATGAAGTACTTCCATAAACAGGGTATCTGAGCCCTCAACCTTCATCACTGCACAAACTACTGCCGCTTCAGTCCCCTTGGTGGTGGTGGGAATGGGACAACTGCCCCCTGCGACCAATCAGCAGTAAGGGGTGGAGCCACCTCCTCCACAACCAATCAGCAGTAAGGGGTGAGGCCACCAGGCCCCTTGGCCAAATAGCAGCAAAGGGTGGGGGAAAATTAAAATAAAGGAAGTTGAACATAGTGTACCATCCTTTTGTCTAATTCTAATTCATAAATCAAACAGGTTTTAATAAATATGTTCAATTGGATGACAAACACACCTGTTAGTATCAGATTTTCAAAAATATGCTGAATGTACAAAATCTTACAGCTCAAAAATACTTTCAATATGTATCACTGTGTGTTATCAATAACAGCTGCTCAACTAGATTATTGATAATATTGCATGGATAACATTACTATGAGTACGGTAAATTTAATACTGTATAGAGATTAAACAACTACCTCTAGATTAGATCAGGGGTGTCAAAGATACGTCCTGCAGACTGGATCTGGCCCATAAGCCCTATTATCCAGGCTGTTGTGAAGCTTGTGGGTCTTGGCCTGGCCTGAATGAGGCATGTGGAACTTGTCTAGCACAGGCTGTACACTGTGTGAGGCTGGGTCTGGCATGCATTGCACATGGTGCACAGGGCTAGTCCAGTGCGTATGCTGCATGTGGCATTTGCATCAGAGCAGCCCCACATGCGAGCTCTGGAGCTGGTCCAGATCAGGCCCACAGATGAGCCCTGCATGGCAGAGGCAGCATGTAGGGCTGATCTGGCACAGGTGCTGTATGCCGTGCGGGCCCCAGACAAGCCCTGTGTGCTGCAGCAGGCTGGGGCTGGCACATACTACATGCAGTGTGTATAGACTGGTGCCAATGCAAACTGCATGCAGGGCTAATCTGAGGTGTCTGCTGCACACAGTGCTCATATCAGGCCAGCCCCAGTTCCAGTGTGCAGGGCTGGTCTGGACTGAGTCCACAGACTGGTCACCATAAGCCTGAATCAATGCACAGGCCTGGTTCAGCACAGGTAGCATGTGCAGCACACACCCCAGACTGGCCCCATGCGCCATGTGTAGCATGTGCCAGGCTAGCTCCATGCACTGTTGGGGACTGGAGCCAGCAAATGCTGCATGTGCTATACAGGGCTAGAGTTGGCACATGTGCCACCAGTAGAGCTGTGCAAAGCTTCGGTCACTGATTCAATTCAGAGGAGATTCAGGCCAATTTGGTGGCAAAATCTCTGAATCAAATCAGGAGACCCATTAATCTCTCCAAATCGAATCGGAAGCCTCTGATTTGATACGTATAGATTAAACCATAGACACAGCTTTATGTTTGTTTTGACATACCTCAAGATACCAGGCGCAGCTCATGAACGCTGAGATGGTGGGGCAGATGAAGCGTCCCACAGGAGCATGGAGGGGAGGGGGGTCCCCCCACATGCTTGATGGAGGATCCAGAAGTGGACCAGAAGTACTTCCAGTCCACTTTCAGGTCTGCTGTGGAGCATACAGGGGACTCCCCCCTCACTCCTCCCCCGCGCCATTCCCTAGCTCAGTAACTGGGTGCCTCCTGGGTCTGCAGGGGCACCTGGGGTCCCCCTGTGGCCGATAGCTGAGCTGGGGGGCATGGAGGGGGTCCCCCGCATGCTCTGTGGCGGACCCAGAAATGGACCAGGAATACTTCCGGTCCACCACTGAGTACATGGGGGCCCCCCTGCACTCCTGTGGGATGCTCCATCCGCCCCACCATCTCAGTGTCCACGAGCCACACCTACACCTGGTACCTTGAGGTATGTAGAAAAAATATTTAAAGCTGTGTCTATGGCCGAATCATGGATTCTCCGAATCAGAATAAAATCTTCAGAATCCGAATCGAATACTGCCTGCTTTGCACACCCCTAGCCAGCAGCACATGGGGCTGGTCCAGAGCAAATGCCGCATGTGACACCCCCACTGGCCTGGCCCTGCATGCGAGCCAATCTGCGGGTTGGATTCTAAGATTAGATGAATATATCTATACATCTACATATATAAATTGCTCATACCTGTTCTGCATTCAATTGAGTCAAATGTTTCTAATGTTTAAAATTCTAAACATGAGAGTTGGCTCAATGAAAATAGTCCTCTTTGCACCATTTTTATTCTAACTATTTTGTTTTAGCAAAATACTTTTGCTCCTACTTAAAGTTGACACATGCTTTGTCAAAAAAGGGTAGACTTAAAACATGCATTTTAATGTTTTACTAAATTAAAGCTCTTGTAGCCATTCTTGCTGCAGTTTTATTTAGGATATCTGGACACTGAATTTAGGTTGTTTCTAGGAGGAGCTTTCTCTTTTTGTTTCCAGGATTCCTCTGTGTGTTTGTGGTGGGAGGGAGGAGTGTACACAAAAAAAACTAGATGCTTTTTTATTAGATCCACTCTAAAGGAATTAATAAATTAAGTGGTATTAATTCTAGTCTTCATACGTTTTCCACACACAGACAAAGTTCACTTTCCTTTTCTTTCTACTAACATTTTTTCCTAGAACCTGTATTTCCCCCTTTTACTTTAAGGATGGTATCATCCTATGGTGGCCACTATGACAAATTTGGTTACTCTGGAAATTTGTACCTCAAATAGTATTAAATTTTCCCTCGCACTGAATATATGATTTGCAGATGGCATATTCAAATAAATCTAAAGGACTACGGACAAATATTCATTTGTCACCTTCCCTATAGAAGACAACAATGCACACAAGCTGCAATGACAAACCTGTTCTTCATCCTACCTGCCAATGTCACTCAACTATACTATGGTGACAAGCTTCTTTTCCTCCCATCATTACTAGCTGCCGAAACTCATTCAACTTCTACAATCAATGTTAATTCAAATACATGAAATATTTGAAACTGTGACTGAATTACCGAAGCAAATTTATGCAAGTTCTTACCTCTGAATGTTGGATCCAGGTATATATGAAATGAAATGTAAGTGTGCGTATCCAATCTTAGCTTTACTGGGGCATATTATAGGGGAGGAGTTGTGTGCTAGGAGGCTTACTTCTTCAACTGGGAAATGCACAGTGATCTTGTAGGGAAGCAGTCATGGAAGGCTGCATAACTGACCCATGTTGGTTAGGGATTTAATTGTTAACTTATTATTTATTTCTTTTTTACTTTTTTCTACTTCTTAATACAGAAATTAAATGCAAAAGACATAGTATAGTCATGTCACAGTAAAGCTTAAACTAAGTGCACAGGAATCAGAAAACTATACAGTTAAGGGTTCTAACAGCATTGCATTGCATTGACCTATTAAGGTAAAGTTTTAACACCAGAAATAGTATTTAAAAAATACAGCACATATGTACCAAATACTGCGTAGCTAAATTAACAGTTTTATGTACATCTTAACTTTAGGAATTTTCTACTTGCAAATTCTTCATTCTAAAATTATATCAGGAGCGGTTTTGTAGTTTGTTAGTTACAGTAAAATCCCTATTATCTGGCATAAGTGGGGAATGAGGGGTGCCAGTAACTTAAAATGCCAGTTACCCGAGGCACAGGGGTTTCTGGCTCCACACGGCGCAGCGGCAGCACAGGGTGGTGGGTGGCGGCAGTCGCCGCCATGAGCAAACTTCATCCTCCCGGAGCCTGGACAGCTGGCCGGAAATTCCGGTTAATAGAGTGTTCCAGTTACTCAAATGCCGGATAACAGGGATTTTACTGTACTTTTATAATGCAATAGTTTGTAACTTCGCAAAAACATATAAGTCTGCTTTTCCTTGCATAATATTACTTACTTGTTCCCCCTCCAGGACTAGTCAGAACGAGTGAAGGATGAGGCGTTTCCATGCTTTTATGGAGTGTAGCCACAGCAATAATTTTTCGTTTATGAATGCATAGCTTGGTGACATCTTCATCTGCTTTTACATCTTCAGCAGTTCTCTGTTTCACAGCAGCTCCAGGATCAAAATTAAATACCTAAAAAATTGAAATCCTCACATTAGAGACAAAGCAACAACTCCAAAAATGTCTCAGAACTGGAAAGAGAACCAAAGTTTGTCACAAGTTTCATGGGATATCAACCTTTATATCATATCTTAGATAGATATCAACCCTGCCTTGCCCTGCAATCAGCTGAGGTGGATGCTCTTGGTCAGAGCATCAATGCTGTACAGACAGCTTATGAATACAGACATTAGTGGATGGCAAAATACCTCCCTTGTTCTTCCTTACAGGGCTTGGCCTCATCAGCTTCCATCCACCACATTCCTTTCTTTCTCTATCCAACTAGGTGAGACTACTAGTACAAATGAATTTCTGCAGCAAATTAGCCTACCAGATACTAATCAACAGAGGGACCAGAGGGAAGAGAACCACAATGTTGGGATTTTCTCAGTAAAAGGAGGTATCTGAGGCTGCCCGCACTGATGGGAAGGCTAGATGATAAAGAAGGAGCATGAAAAATAACACACTTTATTTCTTTTAGAGAGTGTGGGTAAAGGATGAGGAGGGAAAACAGTTTGTGTTCCACCACTACAACTCTCAGAGGACCATTGTTCAGGAAACCTGAAATCCAGCAGTCATGTATGATAAATATTAGAAGTAAAAAAGGGCGAAACAGCTGCCCTTTACTGTAAAAAGGCAAAAGCAAGCATCCCTTTAGCAAAGCAGAACTTCAAAGAGTATTGCATTTGTGCACGATGCCTCTGTTTAAATAAAAAGGAGAGATCACACATGATTAGGATTAATTTAGGATCAAGGAAAAGATGGTTTGGAATACAGACTAATAGTAATAAATTTCAGGACTATATCAGTGTCATACAATAATGTGACCCAGTTTATATATTTTATGAAAGCTTTCTATACCTTTTATATTTTCAAATGATGGCAGTCTTGATGCATACTTATAAAATATATATTTTAAGCATTAAACAAAAAAATTATTTACCCCCCCCCAAAGTTGTTGAAGCCTACACAGAATGTGCCAAGTATAAACAACTCTTTTTGAAAACCTCTTTTTATTCACTAGTCAATATTCATCAGCTTCACCTTCTGGTTCTCATGCATTGGCATAATGTTGTTATGGTTAGATTTCCATCAATTCAGGAGGATGCTTATCTTGTTGCATATGCCCTATGCCTTTTTCCCTTGTAAAACCAGCTGGTGAAATTTGGGGTATGCACTGTATGTGAGAAAAATGAATCTCTCCAAGGATGAAAATTTGGCAGCAGAAGACTGATGGCAGAGTTAACTGCCATGGCTCTGAAAACTATGGTAATTAATACTGCCATTGCTCCCCTGCTGTCAAATTTCAGGACCTGTGAAGAGCACCACCCCCAACCAGATGGTATGGCCCCATGAGCTGGACCAGGTCACTGCACAGGGTTGGTACATGGCCAGACTCAGCATACAGCCCTAGAGCCAACACATGGGGTCGGGCCCAGCACACAGCTCTGGAGCCAATGTACAGGGAGAGACTGGCACATGGCCAGCGTATGACCTCAGACCTGATCTGTGCGGGTGCACAGCCTTAGAGTTAGTGCTCAGCCCGACCTAGCGTGTGGTTCCTGACTCAATGTGCTGGGTCCAACTCAGCACAAGGCTCCAGAGCCAGCAGATGGGGTTGGATTTGGCACACTGCTCCCAGACCCAGTGCACTGGGTTGGTTTGGGGGCCTCATCTGACACACAGGGTTGGCAGTGGGGTCAGAAGCAGGCTCAGTTCCCTAGCTGCTGCTATACAGCTACCACAAAGTAAGATTTCATCCTCCACTTCAGGCTGTCCTTAAAGAGCAAGGTGTGTCCTGTATATGGGAGCATGCTGTGTGCAAGGAAATATATTAGCCACCCTTTCCCAATGATATTTTAAACTAAAAAAGAAGTTAAAAAAAAGTTTGGTATTTTACAACCATGTTGTCTGTCAACTATTACTTCCATTTTCCTCCTCCCCACAAGAAAAAAAAAAACATCTCTACTTGAAAACAAGAAATCCTTTAATTTGGGCATAAATCACATATTTTTCTGAAGCATAACCTCTGAATAAGTATGAAATTACGGCTCA